TGGCAGGCTCGGGGGTGGCACCTGTGCTGGAGAGAGTTCTCGCTCTGGGGGTGCTCGTTCTGGGGGTGCTGGAATGGAGTGTTCCGGAGGTAACCACGGTGCAGCTGGCGGTCTACGTGTCGGCGTAGAGCAGCAGCAGCAGCAGTTGCCGCCGGTGCCCGCCCTTCGCCTTCTCGGCCTTCCCTCCCCTGACCGCTTGCCTACGCCTCCCCCACCATCTCCTCCCCTTCCTATCCACGATCCTGTGTTTCCTCCGCTGGACTCGTCCCCGGCTCGTTTCCCACCTCGTTCCTCTCCTGTTACTCCTCCTCCGTCTCCTAACCCGACGCCTCCGTCTCACGTCTCGTCTTGCCGTCCCTCCTGTCTCCCCTGTTCAGCGCTCTCACCCTATGTTGCTTCGTTTCCACGCATCTCGTCCTCCCCTCCTGCCTTCGCCTCCTCTGTCGTCGCTCGCTGTCGCGCCGCCCCCACTGTCTGACTACCTTCGTGCTGCTCGTCCTCTTGGTCCTCGGGTTCTTGCCTCCCTCGTTACCGACCCGTCTGTTCTTGTCTCGAGTCTTGACGCTCTTGTCCCTGCTGTTGCTGACTTCGCCTCTGCCCACCGCCTTGACTGCGCCACAGCTCTAGTCTCTGACCCTGTCCGTCCTCCGTCCGTCGGGGGTGCTCCTGCCCTTGGCAGTGAAATTCTAGAGGATAGGCAGTACGAGCTTGCTTTCCTGTCCGAGGTTGCTGCCCATCTCTGCTCCATGCTGCTAGTCCCTGAGGGTGACCCAAACGCCTTTGACATCCCGACCCTTCGCACTTACGCTGAGGCGACCTCGGGACCCTGGGCCTCTCAGTGGATAGCTGCCATGGAGCAGGAGATGGCATCTTGGAGATCCACCGGCACCTACGTCGACGCAGTTCCTCCACCTGGGGTGAACGTAGCCGATGGCCGATGGCTCTTCAAGGTGAAGCGCCCCCCTGGAGAGCCGCATGCGTTCAAGGCGCGCTATAAGGCTAAAGGCTTCAGTCAACAAGAGGGGGTGGACATCTTTCATGCCTTCGCCCCGATCCCGAAGATGACTACTCTTCGGGCGCTGCTACACATAGCAGCACAGCGTGAAAACGAGCTCCACTCCCTAGACTTCTCCACTGCCTTTCTTCAGGGCAGCCTACACAAGCAGGTCTACCTACGCCGACCGTAGGGCTTCACCGGTACCTTCCCTCCTAGGACCCAGTGGCTCCTCCGACGCCCGGTCTACGGCCTGCGACAGGCGCCCTGTGAGTGGCACGAGACGTTGCGTGCTACGCTAGCTTACCTGCACTTCTTTCCGTCCTCTGCAGAACCTTCGCTCATCATTCGTGTTGGCCAGTCTCCGTTCAACATCCTTGTCTACGTAGACGACTTGGTCTTCGCTACTGCAGACAGAAATGCGCTGGCCACCGTGAAGGCCGAGCTGCTGAGGAGACACACCTGCACTGACCTAGGAGAGCTGCCTCGCTACCTTGGCTTGCAGATCTCTAGGGACAGAGCAGCGTGCACCATCACTCTCACACAGTCACACTTGGTGCGCTAGGTCCTTCGTAGGTTCGGTCTTCAGTTCTCCTCCGCACAGCCCACACCTCTGCTAGTAAATCACAGGCTCTCAGCTCTAGTTCCTGAGGAGTCGGTAGAGCCCAGTGGTCCTTACGCAGAGCTAGTGGGTTGCCTCATATACCTTATAACTTGCAATCGTTCAGATCTCGCATACCCTCTCAGCATTTTGGCTCGCTTTGTGGCCACAGGCAGACACCGACCACAGCACTGGTCGGCCGCTAAAAGGGTTTTGCGTTATCTAGCGAGTACATCGGGCATGGGGCTAGTGCTAGGAGGACGCAGGTCGGTGGTCCTTACTGGACACACTGACGCTTCGTGGGCAGACGACGCTGAGACCCTCAGGTCCTCCCAGGGCTACTGCTTTAGCCTTGGTTCGGGTGCCATCTCGTGGAGGTCTACTCGCTCCTCGTCTGTTGCCCACTCTAGCTGTGAGGCTGAGATCTACGCCGGTGCCATGGCGGGACAGGAGCTCCAGTGGCTGACCTTCTTGCTCACCGACTTAGGTGAGTGGCCTAGCTCTGGCCCGGTTCTGTACGCTGACAACAGGGCCATAATCCTCCTGTGTCAGGAGCCTCGATTGGATGGCAGAGCGAAGCACATCGAGCTGCGGTACTTCCTCCCGCATGAGCTACAGCAGCGTCGCCAGGCCCGCGTTGTACACTTGGCCTCCAGTGCCAACACAGGTGATATGTTTACTACGGCGCTTGCGCCTAAAGATCATCAACGGCACTGTTTGCAGTTTGGTCTAGTTTCTGTAGACTCTTACTTGCTAGGACCTTGATTGTGTACTCCTCTTATACCATATTCCCCCGTATACAACACCCCGCAAAATTAAACTCCCATGGGTAGTTTGAGCGGACATGGGTGCTTTATTAAAGTGGATATTGATAACACCCGCCTTCGGCGATTACAAACATTTGAACACCCCCCCCCTTTATAAAACTGTTATTTTTAGTCAATAAACAGAGCTACGAACATCAGACGTTAGATATCCTACGAATCCCATAGAGAACCAAGTCCTACAACTGGAGATTCTCATACTGCATGATGAGGTTCTACAGATTCTTTTGCACCTTCTCCTACACACGTTGCGCAATAGCACATTCTCCCACTGCATCACCTGCTACAGTGTCTTGGGCAACTCTTGCTGCTTCCTCTCCCATCTTGTGGCTAGTCGTCGGCTTCAGCATCCGCAGCATCACCATCACAGTCTTCAGCATCAGCATCCTCCTCCTCAGGATCCCCAGCATGCCAGATCTCCACATCCTCTTCATTCGCGACCTCATCCCACTAGCGGTCGTCATCGTCCTCCCAAGCAATCCCCTCTGCTGGCCACTCCCGAACAGGCTCATCCAGCGGGCCCTCCCCCTCGCATGCCAGCTCTTCAAGTAGGACGTCAGCGTCATTATCGTCCTCATCGAAGTCGGGGGCGTCCACGGGGGGCTCAACAAAGCAGTCGTCGTACAGGGGGTTGACGTACTCATCCTCCCCCTCCTCCGCGTGCACATCGTCCATGATCTCCACCTCTGCCTTGCTGCGGAGGTGGCTCAGGACGAGCCGGTCTTCGGAGCCACTGAGGTCGTTGGCAATACCGCAGGTCCTGAAGCTCTTGCGAATGAGCTCCTCGGGGACTGCATCCCATGAGCGAGCAATCCACTTGAGGATCAGCCCTGGCTTGCTGCTGTCTTGTTTGTACTCTTGCTGACTGGTCTTCGGACCCGTGCCTCAGAGGTTGGACTAGTAGTGCCACCGTGAGCTGTGTTCTTGCTCAGCACTACCCTATATCTAGCCTAAGGGGTGTGTCAACTTATACATATTTGTGCATGTAGAAGTTATAGGCTAGAATAGATGTGTGTTCTTAGAGAGTACAACCCAAACCCTATATCTCCTTGTTCTCTCTCATTTCTAATCATTCTAGTATTCTAACATATTATAGAGGGATCTGGATTCTAGGCTCCTAGCGGGTCCCTGTGAGTGCGGTCGTTGGTGTGTCAAAGTTGGTTTCCAAGTGTTTTCAAGTTTGGCGCTGTGACCAGGCCTCAGGATATCAGGGTAAAATACCCTTACGGCCCTTATAATAAGGGTGGGGTAGCTGTTGGACCCTTATTTTTAAAAGTGGTTTAGTTTTTGACCCTTATGAAAAAAACTAGATCTATACGGGACCCTGTTTTTTCAAAGTGGTCGAGTGTAGGGACCCTGATGCGGAAAAGTGTTGTGTAAAATCACCCTTACACAATCACACATGCGATCCCCCCCTGAAATATTTTATCCCCTTGGCAACCTGTAGATTTCGGCTAAGTCCCCCCAATCCGAGAGTCATTCCTCCTATACCCCCCGCAACCCAAGATTTCGGCTAAGTCCCCCACTGCCTAAGGCATTCCTCCCACAGCCCTCGAGCGACCCCGAAAAATTGGTGAAGTCCCCCACTCGCAGAGACAAAGCCGCTGTAGTACCTTCGCAACCCGGAGGATTCGGCTAAGTCCCCCAGTTCCAAGTGTGTTCCAGTCAGACTCGGGGGAATAACTACTTTGAAATTACAGGGTAGCCTGAAACGAAAACAAAGCCCTGGACGTGATATGTCAAATTTTCTCTTCCCCCCTACCCACTTCGGCGAGGGAATCTCGGCGACTTGAATTGAAGTTTCCACGGGTTTTTACCTGGCCCCTGCCCGCGCACGACGGGGATTCAAGTCGTCAATTTCTTCTGCTAATGGTTTACGTTTTTTTTGCTGCCACTCACCCAAGAATTCATGCGCACGGTTACAAAACTTGCCGACTTGAATGTATAATTCGTGTTGGTAGAGTCGTATCGGCCACTACATTAGCTAAAGAAATGAAAGAACAAAAAAAAAACAAAAAACAAAAAAAAAAACAAAAAAAAAAAACAAAAAACGAGTGCGGCACCAACGGGAAATGAGGTCGCGACCAGGAAGGGTCTAGGGAATGAGGTCGTATTTCTACAAGACAGTAATCACTACCAGCAAACCCGGAATGGACTCTGAAACGCGAAACGGTGAGGTCCGAGGGTCAAAACGCGAATTCCTGTTCGGTTCGATTTGGTACTTCGCGAAGTTTGGTTCTCTGGTACTGAAAGCACTAATGTAGAAATACGCACTAACAGCAAAATTACCGAGGTGCGACATTCCCCCCACTTCAGCGCTAACAAACAAAAACAAAAATCTTGGTGCACCCTGTCGAGTGCCACCCAAGGCACGTCGTCACAAATCTGCAACACGTCAGTCGTCTGATCACGCGAGATCCTGTACCTACAGTAAAGTGTAAGGCTGCGCTGGAGTTATACCCTTATGTGAAAAAGTACAAATATTTAGGACCCTTATATTACAAAGTAGCTTTTAAATATACCCTTACAGAAAAAGTGGCAGCAAGCGAGTACCCTTACAAGAAAGAGTACTTCTAATCCTATCCAGAGGCCTGGCTGTGACCACTCTTCCGCTCTCATTTTTGCGCACAGCGTCTCCCGTTCCCCCCTAACTTTCGCTTGACAACCTCGAGTTGGCACCGGGTAACTCCCCTTTCAATTTATAAACAATTGAAAAAGTCCAGGCAATATCAGCACCGCGGCTTTAACTGCCATCCAATTTTGCTTTCAGGCTCTGGGCTCAGGATTCTTATGCTCTGCCCACGGACACATAATCTGCTCATGTAGGCCGAAGGCTTCTACCAGTCTCACACAAATAATGGCGTGTCAGTACTGAAGACACAGCTAAGATCACCTAATCAGTTTTTTGTATTTCCTGCTCAAATCCCATTTCATGTGGCTGGTGAGGGGCATGCTCTGGTGCATGGCATGGCATGGGGGCAGAGGTCACAGTGAGGGGTCAGTCACGAGGAGTTCAACCTGATGGGCCGGGGGGGGGAAGGAGGAGAGGGGTGGGTGGGAAGGGAGGAAGGTGGTGGTGGTTGGAGAGCGATGCAGCGGATGCATGGAGTGGTGCATAAGCTGACATGAGAAGCATCAGTATCCCCTGGGAGCCGAGGATCATGTGCCAGTCTACGCCTGCGTGCACCATGCCTCCTGTTGCACTAGAGACGCCAACCACACTCACGACTCAGCGATCTGGCCATTTCACCTCCACCCCATCTGCCACCTCCACCCCATCTGCTGCACCTGTGATTCCAAGGATCCTAACGACTCACCTCGGGCCCCAACTTGATGACGTCACCATTGGCCAGCTTGCGCGGTGCGTTCACTCCCAGCAGCTTGCTGCGGATGGCGGGTAGAGAGCATTCCAGGGGAGATGGAAGAGGTGGCTGTGAGGGACATGTGGTGGCACTATCACAGCATTCCATGCCCGTGCATGCGTGTCGGGTGTGTGTGCGTACGCTGCATGCACGTGTGCGTACGCTGCATGCACGTGTGCGTGTGTGTGTATGTGTGTGTGTACATGTGTGCGTGTGTGTGACTGCGAGCGCAAGTGAGGATGTGCATGCACAAGTGAGGATGTGCATGCGCAAGTGAGGGAGGGGCAGAGAGGGGAGAGATGATTTGGAGCCACCAAAAGGAACGGATGGGAACTGGAGCAGATGGACGGGGCTAAGGGCAACACTCATCGAGGCAAGGGCAAACCCCGTTTAAGACACACCATGCACCCATCAAGGCGAGGGCACACCCCGTTAAAGACACAGCATGCAGGCATGAGGGCAGGGGCAGGGCGGTCACCCGTTGACGAAGGTGCCGGTGGTGGAGCCGGCGTCCTTGATGAAGTACTCGCGGCGGTACTTGCCGAACCCCATGAACTTGTCCCGCCCGTACACCACGCAGTGCGCAAACGACACCTGCGCCATGGGGTGGGAAGGGGGTGCACGGTGCATGGGAGGCAGCGTAAAGTGGGAGACGCTGCACTGCCTGTGTCCTCGCTGAACTGCCTGTCTCCTCGCTGCATGCGCACACACGAGAGAGCTCACCCCCTTGAGGTGCAGCTCAACCGGTCGCGAGCCGTCCTCCGGCTGGGGGAAAAGCCCGAGCGTCACGCCGTTGCCCGCCACCTCCACGTCCGCCAGTGCCGAGCTGCCACCTGGTGTGTCCGCCACGCCGGCCGTGAGCTTGAGGCGCCACACGGGCGGGTTGTCGCCCCACCCCATGGCCCTCTGCTTTGCGCCCCACTGCTGCAGCCACCTGGGAGGAGGGGGGAGGGGCAAGAGGCAAGGCAGCGCAGTACTGAACAGACCCAGTAACATCCAGCATGCGCGGTGCAGGAGCAGAAGAGTGAGCAAGGTGATGAGCCACCAGTGCTCGCCATGGCTTGTGGCGTGGATGGCCCATCACCACCCACACCCCTCCTCACACCGGGGGCATACCCCTGGCCCCTCACCACGTGCGCATGCCCCCCGCCCCTCACCACATGCGCATGCCCCCCGCCCCTCACCACGTGCGCATGCCCCCCCTCCTCTCCTCACCACGTTCGCATGCCCCCCGCCCCTCGCCCCGTGCGCATGCCCCCCGCCCCTCACCACATGCCCATGCCCCCCCCTCTCACCACGTGCCCATGCCCCCCGCCCCTCACCACATGCCCATGCCCCCCCCCTCTCACCACGTGCCCATGCCCCTCGCCCCTCACCACAAGCGCAAGCACCCCCCCCCTCACCACGTGCGCATGCCCCCCGCCCCTCACCACGTGCGCATGGCCCCCGCCACTCCTCACCACGTGTGCCCCCCGCTCCTCACCACGTGCCCATGCCCCTGGCCCCTCACCACGTGCCAATGCCCCCTTCCTCTAACCATGTGCGCATGCCCCCCCCCCTCACCACATGCGAATGCCCCCTGCCTCTAACCACGTGCGCATGCCCCCCTCCCCTCACCACGTGCGCATGCCCCCCGCCCCTCACCACGTGCGCACGCCCCCCCCCCCCTCACCACGTGTGCATGCCCCTGGCCCCACACCACGTGCGAATGCCCCCTCCCTCTCACCACGTGCGCATGCCCGCCGCACCTCAAAACGTGCGCATGCCCCCTCCCCCACCTCCTTACCACGTTCGATGCCCCCCGCCCCTCACCACGTGCGCATGCCCCCCGCCCCTCACCACGTGCGCATGCCGCCCGCCCCTCACAACGTGCGCATGCCGCCCGCCCCTAACCACGTGCGACTGCCCCTGGCCCCTCACCACGTGCGCATGCCCCCCCCCCCCCTCCTCACCACGTGTGCATGCCCCCCACCCCTCACCACGTGCGCATGCTCCCCCCCCCCCTCACCACATGCGCATTCCCCCCGCCCTTCACCACGTGCGCATGCCCCTGGCCCCTCACCACGTGCGAATGCCCACTGCCTCTGACCACGTGCGGATGCCCCCCGCACCTTACCACGTGCGCATGGTCCCCCCCCTCACCACGTGCCCCCTGCCTCTCACAACGTGCGCATGCCCCCCCCCCTCACCACGTGCGTGCCCCCCCCCCTCACAACGTGCGCATGCCCCCCGCCCCTCACCACGTGCGCATGCCCCCCGTCCCTCACCACGAGCGCATGGCGGCGCGGCTGCGGTCCATGGAGCGCTGCACGTCCCTCTCCAACACCGCCTTCTTCGCCTCGCGCTTGGTGCGCTCGCGCCGCAGCTCGCGCTCGATGACGGCGCGCTCGTTGTCACTCAGATCCACCATGCCCGCCACCAGGTCCTGGCGCGCAGGGGGCACACGATGCACAGAGTGAGGGCGGGAAAGATAGAAGCGCAGCAGAGAAATCGTGGAGACATGAAGGAACGATGATGGGAATGCGGAGTGCAGAGGAGAGAAGAGGAGAGGAGAGGAGAGGAGGGGAGAGAACATGACAGGATGAGGAGAGGAGAGGAGAGAAGAGGAGGGGAGTAGAGAGGAGAGGAGAGGATAGGAGAGGAGAGGAGGGGAGTAGAGAGGAGACGAGAGGAGAGGAGAGGAGAGGAGAGGAGAGGAGAGGCGCGAGAAAACAGAGAAAGGGAAGCACGTTGCAGCCATGATTGGAGGAGGTTGAAGCCATGAAGCCATGCACGCCATAAAGCCATGCACGCCATGAACCCATGCACGCCATGAACCCATGCACGCCATGAACCCATGCACGCCATGAACCCATGCACGCCATGAACCCATGCACGCCATGAAGCCATGCACGCCATGAACCCATGCACGCCATGAAGCCATGCACGCCATGAAGCCATGCACGCCATGAACCCATGCACGCCATGAACCCATGCACGCCATGAACCCATGCACGCCATGAACCCATGCACGCCATGAACCCATGCACGCCATGAACCCATGCACGCCATGAACCCATGCACGCCATGAACCCATGCACGCCATGAACCCATGCACGCCATGAACCCATGCACGCCATGAACCCATGCACGCCATGAACCCATGCACGCCATGAACCCATGCACGCCATGAACCCATGCACGCCATGAACCCATGCACGCCATGAACCCATGCACGCCATGAACTCATGCACGCCATGAACCCATGCACGCCATGAACCCATGCACGCCATGAACCCATGCACGCCATGAACCCATGCACGCCATGAACCCATGCACGCCATGAACCCATGCACGCCATGAACCCATGCACGCCATGAACCCATGCACGCCATGAACTCATGCATGCCATACCATCTGCTCCTCGTCATCGGAGGCAATGTACTCCGAGTCGCTCACGTCGCCGCCTCCAAAGTCAGCAGCAGCTGCAGCAAACATGGCCGCCTCTGCCGCCACCTCAGCCGCCGCTTGCTCTGCCAGCCGGGCAGCCTTCTCCTCCAGCTGATTGGTCCACCTGGGTGCCAGAGAGCAGAAAGCGCAGAGAGAGGAGAGAGAGGAGATGCAGCGCAAGTCAGTCAGGCCATCCAAACATCCCACGGCATAGTCACTCCTAGTCGCGCCTCATCACACATGCAACATAACGACTGACCAAACACACATCTTTACATGCTCGAATGCACTGGCCGAGTCTCACCAGCGCACGCCGCTCGCTACTCACCACTGGCGCATGGCGGCCCGGCCTGCCTCCATGGCCTCCAGCTTGGCCTCCTCCGCCTGCTGCTCCGCCTCCCCCAGCACCGCCCTCCACTTGCCCACCGCCCTGCCACCGCCCGCACATGGCGTGGCATGGTGTGGCATGGTACAGGATCAGCACACTGGGCGGCATGGAATTGCATGGCATGGCGGATGTGGTACAGCATGGTACGGTACAGCATATAGGGGGTGGAGGAGATTGCATGCTGTGCGATCGTGGCCTAGGAGGTGCAATGAGAACACGTGCCATGCAAGGCTTCGTGCCCACAGCTTCTATGCATGCAGCACCACCCACCATGCATGCAGCACCACCCACCATGCATGCAGCACCACCCACCATGGATGCAGCACCACCCACCATGCATGCAGCACCACCCACCATTCGTTGAGCTGCGATCGCGACTCATCCTGCTCCGCCTGCAGCTGCTCCACCCGCCCTGCCTCCGCTGCTGCCTTCTTCTCTGCCAGCTGCGCCAGCCACCTGCAGCCAGGATAGGGGTCGCAGGGAGCGGGAGAGAGCAACAGAGGATGACCGAGAATGAATGGCTCAAGGCAAGCGACTTGCCATGACGTTACTCCGCACAATCAATTGCCACTCAATTGCATGACGCGACAGCGAGTGTGCCATTGTTGTTGTGTGTGTTGACCACAGCCTCAACGTTTCAATGAGCTAAGTCTCACATACATGCAAGCGGAGGTCACTTGCTACTGCTCGGATCGTTCAGTAGGACACCAGCAGCTACTGGAATTGCAAGCAGCACCCCTCAACCAAGCACGCTCCCCAAGCCCCCATGCGCTCACCAGGCCCTCATCGCCGCTCTGCCCTGCTCCATGCCTGCCACCGCCGCTGCCTCCGCCCTGCCCTGCTGCTGGGCCACCCACCTAACAGCACCCGGAATGAGGCACACGGCATGCATGATGGGGTGGGCGAGGAAAAGGGAAGCAGGGCGAGAAGAGAGCGACAGTAAGGGCGTGGTGCTTTGAGTTGTGCGACTCGGCCAGGTTACCCCTTTCGTGAAACTCGGCAAACTGGGGTTTCCATAGCCAACCACGAACCACAACTCGGGTTGCGCAACCCGGAACCCCCTTGAACGCCAGTCCTACGCAACTCGCGCCAAGCAAAGAGCACGGAGCCCTGCGGAGTTCGCCCGTCACACTAACCCAAGCGGTTTCCCCAATTCTTGCGAGCTTGTAAGGCGGTCACCCCTTTCGCGGGGGGGTTAAAACTTTCGCCGCTGGGTTTCGAAAATCCAAGCGCAACTCGATGTACCGGGCCAGGCCAGTTGCAAAAGTTGGCCACGTTTCGCAACCGATGGACCAGCTGCGTATGTCGGATTTCTTTCGCTAAAACAGCAACTAGTTGTGCAACTTTCTAAGCGCAACTCAAAGCACCACGCCCTAAGAATGAGCAACGTGGGTGCGCTCATATAAGGGTACAAGGGGCCACCGTTGGAGCGAAACAACACGAGTGCTAATGATATGAGACTAAGGAGTGGCACTGGGAGGGTGTGTGAGACTGAGAAATACAAGGACGGGTGGATGGCATTTGTAGGAGGAGCAATGGGCCGACGTGGCTATGAGTGAGACATGCCTATGAGTAAGATCAAGACATGTGGCTCCTCTTGATTTGCCATACCTCCACCCTCCATCCGCCCCCCCCCCACTGCTCTCACCATGCCCTCATCTCTGCTCGTGCTCTCACCATGCCCTCATCTCTGCTCGTGCTGCATCCAGAGCCTTGCCCTGCTGCTGCTGCACCCACCTGGTGGACGAGGCGAGAGCCAAGGGGAGAGGCACAACGCGAAAGCTAATGTGGGAAAATACATTAAGCAGGTTGCTAATTTGGTAAGCGCAGAGAAAACGGCACACATAGTGCGATATACGCTACTCTGGTAAATGCTCACCCACAGCCTCTTCCTGGTAGATGCCTCTTCTTTTACTTGGAGAAGAGGACTAAGTGTGAGATACCTAAAGCGTGAAGCTTCAGCTATTTAAGCTTAAAGCTTGAAGCAACAATACCCGAGTCGTGAGCCAACCATGTCACGACATGAGATGGACGGGCTCTTTTCTCCCTTACTTCAACCACCTTGTCCCCCCCCCTCCTTCCCACTGCTCTCACCATTCCCGCATTTGTGCTCGTGCTGCATCCATAGCCTTGCCCTGCTGCTGCTGCACCCACCTGGTGGACGGAAATAGTCGTGGGGAGATTATATAGAGGAGAAAGCGGGTCAACACGATACCTCATCAGTTTCCGTGAAAAGCAGTATTCCTGGTTACAATGGGTACAACTAGTCACTCTCGCAAGCAAGTCCCTCTCATAGAGGAAACAACAAGTGGGACATGAGGCAGCGCTTAACTTGGTGGCAACTTTTCAAGAGTACACCTTTCCCAAAAGCTTAAGTCGGTCCAACAAGTGAAGTGCCGCGGTGACTGGCGTGGGCACAAGGGCCAATGAGACAGCAGCACGAGGTCAAGCAGGCCTCAGCACGCTCAGAGCAAACAGCAGCGGGTGGAGGGTGGAGGTATGGCAAATGGAGGGTGGAAACAGCAGCGGCGAGCACGAGGTCAAGCAGGCCTAAACCCTGAGGCCTAAACCCTGAGGCTCAGTACAGGATTTTCCATCCGCAGCACGAGGTCAAGCAGGCCTCAGCACGCTCACCATGCCCTCATTGCCGCTCTGCCCCGCTCCATGCCCTCCATGCCCTCCATCTCCTCCATCTCCTCCATGCCTGCCGCTGCCGCTGCCCCTGCCTTGCCCTGCTGCTGGGCCACCCACCTGCCAGCATGCCGCAACGCATGGCATAGGTACGTGTGAGAAAAAGTGAAATTGAATAGTTGATTAGGGAGGAGAGCACAAGGCCTTACATAGAAATGTGGGGAGGGAGGTTTCCCAACAATGAGGTTGACCGACTTATTGGTAACCCCAATAATGTTGGCCAGAGTGGCCAGAATTTTTGGGGGCGGCCAATAATCGGGAACTCAACCAATTGAGGGCCAATAATGGCAAGGATGAGAGCCCAACTTTGGGATCCCATCCCCAACTAGGGTAACAATACCCAAGCTATAATACGATGCTTATAACTACCCAAGTCTTATTAGCTATGTAGGCTAAAAGAGTATACAATATATTCTAACACAACCCCTTAGCCTGCATAGAGCAAGAAGACTTGGGCACGTGAAAGAGGCAACCCCTGAAGCATGGGGTCTGGGAGGAGGATGCGGGTCCCCGGAGGAGGACGAGGGGAGGGCATGAAGCTGCCGCCGGAGGACGCGGGCAGCGTGTGGTGCTCGCGTCCGGGGAGGGAGGTGCAGCTGCAGGCGGCGCGTGGTGCTGATGCCTGAGAGAGGTGCAACGGCGGGCGGCGCGTGGTGCTGCCGCCGGACGAGGGAGGAGTTGCTGTGGGCAGCGCATGGTGCTGCCACCGGAGGAGGGAGGTGTAGTATGTGGGCGGCACATGGTGCTGCTGCCGGAGAAGGTGCTGCTATGGGCGGCGTGGTGCTGCCGCTGGAGAGAGGTGCAGCGGCGGGCGGCGCATGGTGCTGCCGAAGGAGGAGGGGCAGCTGCGGGCGGAGCGTGGTGCCGCCGCCGGAGGAGGTGCTGCTGCGGGCGGCGCATGGTGATGGCGCCAGAGGGAGGTGCAGTGGTGGGTGGCGCGTGGTGCTGCCGCCGGAGGTGCTGCTGCGGGCGGCTCGTGGTGCTGCCACCGGAGGGAAGTGCAGCGGGCGGGCGGCGCGTGGTGCTGCCGCCGGAGGGAGGTGCAGCTGTGGGCGGCAAGTGGTGCTCACGCCGGAGGGAGGTGCAGCTGCGGGCGGCTAGTGGTGCTGCCGCCGGAGGGAAGTGCAGCTGCGGGCGGCGCGTGGAGCTGCTGCCGGAGGGAGGTGCAGCTGCGGGCGGCGCGTGGTGCTGCTGCCGCAGGGAGGAGAAGCTGCGGGCGGCGGGTGGTGCTGCCTCCGGAGGTCGGTGCAGCTGTGGGCGGCGCGTGGTGCTGCCGCCGGAGGGAGGTGGTGCTACCGGCAGTGCGTGGTGCTGCCGCTGGAGGGAGGTGCAGTGGCGGGCGGTGCGTGGTGCTGCCACCGGAGGGAGGTGCAGCTGCTGGCGGCGCGTGGTGCTGCCGCCGGAGGGAGGTGCAGCTGCGGGCGGCGCGTGGTGCTGCCGCCGTAGGGAGGAGCAGCTGCCGTCGGCGGCGGGTGGTGCAGCCGCCGAAGGGAGGTGCAGTTGTGGGCGGCGCAGGGTGCTGCCGCCAAAGGGAGGTGCAGTTGTGGGCGGCGCATGGTGGTGCCGCCGGAGGAGGTGGTGCTGCTGCAGCCTGCAGGCAGCGCGTGCTGCTGCAGCCAGAGGAGGTGGAGCTGCTGCGGGCGGCGCGTGCTACTGCCGCCGGAGGAGGTGGTGTTGCTGCGGGTGGCACGTGCTGCTGCCGCCGGAGGAGGTGGTGCTGATGCTGGTGGCGCGTGGTGCTGCCGCCGGAGGAGGTGGTGCTGCTGCGGGCGGCGCATGCTGCTGCCGCCGGAGGAGGTGTTGTTGCTGCAGGCGGCGCATACTACTGCTGCGGGAGGAGGTGCTGCTGCTGCGGGGGGCGCGTGCTGCTGCCGCCGGAGGAGGTGGTGGTGCTGCTGCCGCCGGAAGAGGTGCTGCTGCTGCTTGCGGCGCGTGCTGCTGCCGTCGGAGGAGGTGCTGCTGCTCCCGGCGGCGCCTGCTGCTGCCGTCGGAGGAGGTGCTGGTGCTGCGGGCGGCGCCTGCTGCTGCCGCCGGAGGAGGTGGTGCTGCTGCGAGCGGCGCGTGCTGCTGCCGCCGGAGGAGGTGGTGCTGCTGCGTAAGCTGATGCGGGCGGCGTGTGCTGCTGCGGGTGGCGTGTGCTGCTGCCGCCGGAGGAGGTGGTGCTGCTACGGGCGGCGCGTGCTGCCGACGCCGGAGGAAGTGCTGCTGCTGCGGGCGGCGCGTGCTACGGCCGCAGGAGGAGGTGTTGCTGCTGCGGGCGGCGCGTGCTGCGGCCGCCGGAGGAGTTGGTGCTGCTGCTGGTGGCGCGTGGTGCTGCCGCCGGAGGAGGTGCTGCTGCTGCGGGCGGCGCGTGCTGCCGCCGCCGGAGGAAGTGCTGCTGCTGCGGGCGGCGCGTGCTACGGCTGCAGGAGGAGGTGTTGCTGCTGCGGGCGGCGCGTGCTGCCGCCGCCGGAGGAGGTGCTGCTACTGCGGGCGGCGCGTGCTTCTGCCGCCGGAGGAGGTGCTGCTGCTGCGGGCGGCGCGTGCTGCTGCCGCCAGAGGAGGTGGAGCTGCTGTGGGCGGCGCGTGCTGCTGCCGCCGGAGGAGGTGCTGCTGCTGCTGGCGGCGCGTGCTGCTGCCGCCGGAAGAGGTGCTGCTGCTGCGGGCGGCGCCTGCTGCTGACGTCGGAGGAGGTGCTGCTGCTGCGGGCGGCGCCTGCTGCTGCCGCCGGAGGAGTGCTGCTGTTGCGGGCGGCGCCTGCTGCTGCCGCCGGAGGAGGACGGGCGGAAGAGGAGCTAGGAGTCGGTGAGGAGAGGAGAGAGGGGGAGGAAGGGCGAAAGGCGGCCTAGGAGCCGTTGAGGGGAGGGGAGAGTGCGAGGATGGGCGGAAGGCGGGCTGGCTGAGGTGAGGCGAGAGGGGGAGGACAGGCGAAAGGCGGGCTGGGAGCCACTGAGGGAAGGGGAGCGGGGGAGGACGGGCGGAAGGCGGGCTGGGTGCCGCTAAGGGGAGGAGAGAGGGGTTGGATGGGCGGAAGGTGTGCTGGGAGCCGCTTATGGGAGGAGAGAGGGGGGCGGACGGGCGGAAGGCAAGCTGGGGGATGCTGAGGGTAGAGTGGGAGGACAGGCAGGACGACGCAAGGCAGACGGACGGGACAGAGCGACGCGAACAGAGGGCGCGGGACGGCGTGGCGGGGACGGATGGGACGGGGTAGCGCGGACGGAGGGCGCAGATGGATGGGACGGAGCGAGGCAGACGGACGGGATGGGGCGACGCGGACGGACAGCGCGGACGGACGGCGCGGACAGACGGGACAGCGCAACGTGGACGGGACAGCGCGACGTGGACGGATGGGACGGGGGGACGCGAATGGAGGGAGCGGATGGACGGGACAGGGCGACGGGGACAGATGGGACGAGGCGACGCAGACGGATGGGACTGGGCAACGCGAACGGACGCCATGGAGGGACGCGGGAAGGAGCGACTTGGACGGACGGCGCAGATGGACAGGACGGGGCGACGCGGACGGACGGGAGAGACGTCTCTAGGAGAGATGTGGGGATGTTGAGAGAGGCATTAGGGAGGTGGGGAGAAATTTGTGCGCCATAAGGGTAGGAACTAGGATCAACAAAGAGGGGCATGAGCCATAAGGCTCTGATTACCATGTGAGAAAAAGTGAAATTGAATAGTTGATTAGGGAGGAGAGCACAATAATTGGTAACCCCAATAATTTTGGCCAGAGTGGCCAGAATTATTGGGGGTGGCCAATAATCGGGAACTCAACCAATTGAGGGCCAATAATGGCAAGGATGAGAACCCAACTTTGGGATCCCATCCCCAATTAGGGTAACTATACTCAAGCTGGAATACGATGCTTATAACTACCCAAGTCTTATTAGCTATGTAGGCTAAAAGAGTAGACAATATATTCTAACAGTACGGGCATGCATGTGGTGGCATACAAACAGGCCATGCATGCATATTCAGTGTGAAAGGAAAGGCACATGGAGGCGGAACATGGGATGATGGTGTGAGAAATGGATAGAATGGGTGTGCATGAGAACAGTGTGTGACAAGCAGATTCAATGAAAGAAACAAACAAAAGAGAAGCTATCAAGGGCCATTGGAAGAAAGGGTAGAAGTGATGGTGAGTGTGAGAAGTGGAAAGCCACAAAGAAGTCACATGCAACCTCCACCTCACTCGTGCTCTCACCATGCCCTCATCTCTGCTCGTGCTCTCACCATGCCCTCATCTCTGCTCGTGCTCTCACCATGCCCTCATCTCTGCTCGTGCTGCATCCATCGCCTTGCCCTGCTGCTGCTCCAACCACCTGGTGGGCAGAACGAAGGGTTTGATGAGGAGGACGTTTCAGGCATGAAGACACGGGCAGCACGGGAAGGAAAAGGCGTGGTAAAAAATGACCGTGCACGTGCCGAGAGAAAGAACAGACGTGCATTTTCCACAGCACTGCCTGGCTCGCAGCACTGAATGAATGACTGACACCAATACCGCCACACTCGCCCTGCTATCTCTGGCCTCCTCACCACTCCCAGTCCCCCTCTTCCTCCCTTCACCATCCCCTCACCACTCCCTTACCCGTTCTCCCTTCATCAACCCGTTCCTTTTCCCCCCTACCTCTTGAAACCCCCTCCCTCCCTCCTCCCCCCCCCCTCACCACCAGCCACGCATCTGCGCCTTGGAGACCTCCACGCCCGCGCGCTCTGCCTTGCCCGCCTGCTGTGCCGCCCACCTGCACGCAGGGACGGTGGCCAAGAGAGCGGGTGGCGATGGTGGGGGCATTGGAGAATGACGTTGAGAGGCAGGGCGGGATGTGTTGATACGGGTGGAGGGGCAGGGGCGGATGGGAGGGGGGGACGAGGCGCAACGGAGCCACATTCTGCAAGACGTCAGGGCGGTGGATACTGAGCCGTTCATCGTGCCGGCAAGTGGGGGCGACGAGACAGCACAGGCGAATGCTGGAGGTTAAAAGCACCTCTGCCCCGACATTCCGCCTCCAACACACAGCACACTCCCAACACACAGCACACTCCCAACACACAGCACACTCCCAACACACAGCACACTCCCAACACACAGCACACTCCCAACACACAGCACACTCCCAACACGCCCTGTTCCCTCGCCCATGGCTCCCCTCACCACTGCCTCATCTGGGCCCGAGCGGCGTCCATGCCCGCCTGCCCGTTCCCCCCATCCGCCACCGCCACTGCCCCTGCCGCCTTCTCCCCCTGATGCCCCGCCTTCGCTGCCAGCTGCGCCTGCCACCTGCCACAGCGGGAGCGGGTTGGGAGGGCACGGGGGGAAGTTTGGAGCGGTTTGATGAGGAGAGAGGGATACAGCCTACAGGCATGGACCATGGTCCCTTGCGCAGGCGCGCACGCGGACAAAGCAAGGTGTGAAGCGGAGGGGCAGAGCACAATGGGATGGGGGCGGGCGATGAGTGCAGCGGGCGTGAGGCGGACGAGCAGGGCCACCGACAGATGGTGCGAATGAGGAAGGCAGGGAGGGGCCGGGCCAGGGGAATGACGGACGGGACACGAGTGATTGGTGAGGCAGAGAGGGTTAAGCGGGACCCTATGATGGATAGGACGGACAGTGCGAGGAACAGTGGGAGAGAGGGGTGGATTGAAGGAAAGTGGATTGAAGGAAAGTGGATTGAAGGAAAGTTGAAGGGCGAGAGGGACGAGGAACGTGAGTAAACACGGCACAGCTCAGCCCCATCCCTCTCACATCACCGTTCCCTCTCACATCACCGTTCCCTCTCCACATCACCGTTCCCTCTCACATCACCGTTCCCTCTCACATCACCGTTCTCACATCCACCGTTCCCTCTCACATCACCGTCCCTCCCTCCCCCTCTCACATCACCGTTCCCTCTCACATCACCGTTCCCTCTCACATCACCGTTCCCCTCTCACATCACCGTTCCCTCTCACACACCGTCTCACATCACCGTTCCCTCTCACATCACCGTTCCCTCTCACATCACCGTTCCCTCTCACATCACCGTTCCCTCTCACATCACCGTTCCCTTCTCACATCACCGTTCCCTCTCACATCACCGTTCCCTCTCACATCACCGTTCCCTCTCACATCACCGTTCCCTCTCACATCACCGTTCCCTCTCACATCACCGTTCCCTCTCACATCACCGTTCCCTCTCACATCACCGTTCCCTCTCACATCACGTTCCCTCTCACATCACCGTTCCCTCTCACATCACCGTTCCCTCTCACATCACCGTTCCCTCTCACATCACCGTTCCCTCTCACATCACCGTTCCCTCTCACATCACCGTTCCCTCTCACATCACCGTTCCCTCTCACATCACCGTTCCCTCTCACATCACCGTTCCCTCTCACATCACCGTTCCCTCTCACATCACCGTTCCCTCTCACATCACCGTTCCCTCTCACATCACCGTTCCCTCTCACATCACCGTTCCCTCTCACATCACCGTTCCCTCTCACATCACCGTTCCCTCTCACATCACCGTTCCCTCTCACATCACCGTTCCCTCTCACATCACCGTTCCCTCTCACATCACCGTTCCCTCTCACATCACCGTTCCCTCTCACATCACCGTTCCCTCTCACATCACCGTTCCCTCTCACATCACCGTTCCCTCTCACATCACCGTTCCCTCTCACATCACCGTTCCCTCTCACATCACCGTTCCCTCTCACATCACCGTTCCCTCTCACATCACCGTTCCCTCTCACATCACCGTTCCCTCTCACATCACCGTTCCCTCTCACATCACCGTTCCCCCCCCCCCCCCCACCACCGTTCCCTCTCACATCACCGTTCCCTCTCACATCACCGTTCCCTCTCACATCACCGTTCCCTCTCACATCACCGTTCCCTCTCACATCACCGTTCCCTCTCACATCACCGTTCCCTCTCACATCACCTTTCCCTCTCACATCACCGTTCCCTCTCACTATCACCGTTCCCCTCTCACATCACCGTTCCCCTCTCACATCACCGTTCCCTCTCACATCACCGTTCCCTCTCACATCACCGTTCCCTCTCACATCACCGTTCCCTCTCACATCACCGTTCCCTCTCACATCACCGTTCCCTCTCACATCACCGTTCCCTCTCACATCACCGTTCCCTCTCACATCACCGTTCCCTCTCACATCACCGTTCCCTCTCACATCACCGTTCCCTCTCACATCACCGTTCCCTCTCACATCACCGTTCCCTCTCACATCACCGTTCCCTCTCACATCACCGTTCCCCTCTCACATCACCGTTCCCTCTCACATCCACCGTTCCCTCTCACATCACCGTTCCCTCTCACATCACCGTTCCCTCTCACATCACCGTTCCCTCTCACATCACCGTTCCCTCTCACATCACCGTTCCCTCTCACATCACCGTTCCCCTCTCACATCACCGTTCCCTCTCACATCACCGTTCCCTCTCACATCACCGTTCCCTCTCACATCACCGTTCCCTCTCACATCACCGTTTCCCCCTCTCACATCACCGTTCCCTCTCACATCACCGTTCCCTCTCACATCACCGTTCCCTCTCACATCACCGTTCCCTCTCACATCCACCGTTCCCTCTCACCATCACCGTTCCCTCTCACATCACCGTTCCCTCTCACATCACCGTTCCCTCTCACATCACCGTTCCCTCTCACATTCACCGTTCCCTCTCACATCACCGTTCCCTCTCACATCACCGTTCCCTCTCACATCACCGTTCCCCCTCTTCACATCACCGTTCCCTCTCACATCCACCGTTTCCCTCTCACATCACCGTTCCCTCTCACATCACCGTTCCCTCTCACATCACCAGTTCCCTCTCACATCACCGTTTCCCTCTCACATCCACCGTTCCCTCTCACATCACCGTTCACCGTTCCCTCTCACATCACCGTTCCCTCTCACATCACCGTTCCCTCTCACATCACCGTTCCCTCTCACATCACCGTTCCCTCTCACATCACCGTTCCCTCTCACATCACCGTTCCCTCTCACATCACCGTTCCCTCTCACATCACCGTTCCCTCTCACATCACCGTTCCCTCTCACATCACCGTTCCCTCTCACATCACCGTTCCCTCTCACATCACCGTTCCCTCTCACATCACCGTTCCCTCTCACATCACCGTTCCCTCTCACATCACCGTTCCCTCTCACATCACCGTTCCCTCTCACATCACCGTTCCCTCTCACATCACCGTTCCCTCTCACATCACCGTTCCCTCTCACATCACCGTTCCCTCTCACATCACCGTTCCCTCTCACATCACCGTTCCCTCTCACATCACCGTTCCCTCTCACATCACCGTTCCCTCTCACATCACCGTTCCCTCTCACATCACCGTTCCCTCTCACATCACCGTTCCCTCTCACATCACCGTTCCCTCTCACATCACCGTTCCCTCTCACATCACCGTTCCCTCTCACATCACCGTTCCCTCTCACATCACCGTTCCCTCTCACATCACCGTTCCCTCTCACATCACCGTTCCCTCTCACATCACCGTTCCCTCTCACATCACCGTTCCCTCTCACATCACCGTTCCCTCTCACATCACCGTTCCCTCTCACATCACCGTTCCCTCTCACATCACCGTTCCCTCTCACATCACCGTTCCCTCTCACATCACCGTTCCCTCTCACATCACCGTTCCCTCTCACATCACCGTTCCCTCTCACATCACCGTTCCCTCTCACATCACCGTTCCCTCTCACATCACCGTTCCCTCTCACATCACCGTTCCCTCTCACATCACCGTTCCCTCTCACATCACCGTTCCCTCTCACATCACCGTTCCCTCTCACATCACCGTTCCCTCTCACATCACCGTTCCCTCTCACATCACCGTTCCCTCTCACATCACCGTTCCCTCTCACATCACCGTTCCCTCTCACATCACCGTTCCCTCTCACATCACCGTTCCCTCTCACATCACCGTTCCCTCTCACATCACCGTTCCCTCTCACATCACCGTTCCCTCTCACATCACCGTTCCCTCTCACATCACCGTTCCCTCTCACATCACCGTTCCCTCTCACATCACCGTTCCCTCTCACATCACCGTTCCCTCTCACATCACCGTTCCCTCTCACATCACCGTTCCCTCTCACATCACCGTTCCCTCTCACATCACCGTTCCCTCTCACATCACCGTTCCCTCTCACATCACCGTTCCCTCTCACATCACCGTTCCCTCTCACATCACCGTTCCCTCTCACATCACCGTTCCCTCTCACATCACCGTTCCCTCTCACATCACCGTTCCCTCTCACATCACCGTTCCCTCTCACATCACCGTTCCCTCTCACATCACCGTTCCCTCTCACATCACCGTTCCCTCTCACATCACCGTTCCCTCTCACATCACCGTTCCCTCTCACATCACCGTTCCCTCTCACATCACCGTTCCCTCTCACATCACCGTTCCCTCTCACATCACCGTTCCCTCTCACATCACCGTTCCCTCTCACATCACCGTTCCCTCTCACATCACCGTTCCCTCTCACATCACCGTTCCCTCTCACATCACCGTTCCCTCTCACATCACCGTTCCCTCTCACATCACCGTTCCCTCTCACATCACCGTTCCCTCTCACATCACCGTTCCCTCTCACATCACCGTTCCCTCTCACATCACCGTTCCCTCTCACATCACCGTTCCCTCTCACATCACCGTTCCCTCTCACATCACCGTTCCCTCTCACATCACCGTTCCCTCTCACATCACCGTTCCCTCTCACATCACCGTTCCCTCTCACATCACCGTTCCCTCTCACATCACCGTTCCCTCTCACATCACCGTTCCCTCTCACATCACCGTTCCCTCTCACATCACCGTTCCCTCTCACATCACCGTTCCCTCTCACATCACCGTTCCCTCTCACATCACCGTTCCCTCTCACATCACCGTTCCCTCTCACATCACCGTTCCCTCTCACATCACCGTTCCCTCTCACATCACCGTTCCCTCTCACATCACCGTTCCCTCTCACATCACCGTTCCCTCTCACATCACCGTTCCCTCTCACATCACCGTTCCCTCTCACATCACCGTTCCCTCTCACATCACCGTTCCCTCTCACATCACCGTTCCCTCTCACATCACCGTTCCCTCTCACATCACCGTTCCCTCTCACATCACCGTTCCCTCTCACATCACCGTTCCCTCTCACATCACCGTTCCCTCTCACATCACCGTTCCCTCTCACATCACCGTTCCCTCTCACATCACCGTTCCCTCTCACATCACCGTTCCCTCTCAC